CCACGTATTTACGATACAGATAGTAGTGATAGTACCAACCGATATTTTAAAAATTAAATAATTTTTCTCATCGTTCCAGTTAATCAGCGCCACACAAAGCCTAAATTCGTTACGATCGTCATTGCCTGTCATCGTTAAACATAGTATATTATTATATTTGGAACGGCGGGCGGAGCTAGGACATCGTGTTGGTAAAGTAAGCGGTTTACATCGGTCGCCGATGTAGCACAACGCGCAGCGAACCAGTTGTGGCGCGCGCGCTTGTGTTCTATCGCGATATTATAGTCCTCTGTGTGTATCCGTTTAACCGGTTCGGTGTGCTGGCCGTCGCTCGTTATTGTATACGTCTTGTCGTATCTTTTTACCCACAAATCAGTAATCACCATACTTAGATATAACCGGCATAATATATTAATATTATACATTACATGGGTAGATAAATAGATATTATTATTGTAGTATATATTATTGTGTCCAAATGAAAAAAACGCCGCGGGTCCCGTACAGAGGTAGGTACTTACACTAATTACCAAGCCCTGACCTCTGCATCGTCAGCGAGCTTCTCCGTTGGCAGCATCATTGACGACGACTCTCGTCTCCCGCCAAACATTTAACGCGTTGACTGGGTCGGTCTTTACGATACATAATAGGAGACCTACTAATCGCTGCCAGTGCCATAAAGCCGATACGAAAGTTCGTCAAACCCTAGTGACATATCACAATCTCTAAAAAAAAAACACTCCCTCGCCCTTCCCAATCGATCGTTTCTCGTCTTCGTCCACCGTTGTGACAGCTGTTATAATTACTAACTTAAGAACGCGTTAAATTAGCCGAGAAGGACGAATTAAATACCGTATTATTACTCTATATAAAATGTTCGATATCTCGGTATCCCGACCGCACCGCCGCCCCGTCGCATATACTTATAAGGGCCTTTGGCACCGATTTTTATACGCTCTGAAAAGGTCGGTTACTGTTGTTTTCAACTCTTTCGGTAACCCGACCACTATACTATTATAGATATTATATTTAGGTCTAATCTAGCCTTTGCCCCCCACTCCTTTGGATGGCGATATATTATAACATGTGTATTTTGTAATACCATAGATATAAATGTGATAGGTAGTATAAAAGTATAATATTATAATTTATAATATTTATAATCAATGCAAATACCTAATATTATGTACTAAAATCATATTATCGTCTTCTGAAAAAAAATGTTATACCCTCTCCTTCCGATTTCTTAATCCGCGCCTGTGTCCGACAGTAATCGGGTGGATTATTATTACGTTACGTTGACTGAATCGTTAGTCAACAAAAATTATTTAGGTTACCGCACCCAAAATCAATCAGTTTTAAAATGAAAAAGTGGATTCTACTGTAAATACTATAAGTGTTTAATAAAATATTAATACGTGGGGGACTACAGACGACGCAATTATAACGTATAATATTATAAGAACATTATTTTGTATAACTACAATACATTTGGTACGAACTGTGTAATACCAAACTTATTATCACAGCTATAGAGGACATATGATATAAAATACAACCCTAAAGTTATTTATACCCTGATATTTTACATAATAATATGCATATTTATTATATGCCTAGGTATTAATATATATACGCGTAATATATCGTTGACTCGTCTTACACAATACAATTTTACTTCGTTGAATATATTACATCATTTATATATCCTTTGTACTACTCGATATGTAATGTATTCTATACCTATATTATAATATGTTTATTGTATAATATTTTTGCGTAAACCTATACGCAATACATGCGTGATGATAATTTTTTAAGTTCAAAGTACCATCTGCAGTTGTGTTTTTCTAAAAATATATATAATATTTTTGCTTTGTTTATTTTTCGAGTAGGTGCATCTTTATGAATAATATTTACAATATTTTCATCACACTCTCGTTTTTACGTTTTTTCTGTAGCTGATATTGTTTGCTGTACACATCCTGCGTTTTGACTGGAGTCGTGAATCAGCTGTACGGTTTGCGTCTAATTAGGCCCATATATTACTATACTCGACCCAGTTTCGTTGAGATGTCAATGTTTGTGTTGAATGCACACACATTAAAACCATCGAATAATGAATCCTCAAAAAATATTGATATTTGAATTATTGTTAAAGTTTTTATTTTTCTAATACACTGCAGTGCAGTATAATATATACAGCACTACAACAGTAGCTGTGGGTAAATGAAATTGAAAAAAAAATATTTATCTACTAAACCAATCGTGGGTTCGGTATCGTGTCCAATCTTAAAAAAAGCCATTTTTCATCGAGACCCCACCATTAAAATGCGATTATAGTGGCGCCTGTTTTTCGCGACGTCTACATACATATACGACCCCTATACACAATAATCCACCCTCCATAAACTTTACCCCTTCTCAGTGTAATAACTACGGCGTGTACGGATTTTACGAGTACCTTGGCTTTTTCCAATTGCTTATTATGTAGAACCACGCATGAAAAGCAACTTATATACAGTAAAAATTCAATGTACATATTATAATAAATTGTATTCATGTATGTTGTACAGAGTGATTCTTTTAACAAAAACCTCTAATTATTTCAAAAAGTATATACGTATTATAATAAATTCTTTTTGTAAATGTTGAGTAATACACAATATACATAATTTATCATTTTATTATACTAGCGGCAGTTTATTTGTAAGTGAAACTACAACGGCACTATTATATCAAGTATCAACATTTGATTTATAATGAGCTTAGATATCTGCAATACGTTAAAATGTTATGATCCCATTAAATTTAAAAAAGGTAAATATTTTTTTGGAATTACGTTTGTTCACTATTGAAAGTACCATGACACGTATATAACCAGGTGAGGCGCGACGAGGACATAATTTTGTCATAGGGACTTCCAAACGAAATATATATAATACCAACAGGCAACAACCGTTGCAAGCTACGACGACAATATAATATTATACAATTCGTTCTTGGCGTCGTATTATATTTTTATACTTATTAGATATTACTATTATTATATACTTCTTATGTAAGCATTCCCAATTTCCCGAGCGCGACACAAAGAGAAGACATAGTGTATACGTGCCCGGTTATATCTTCCTTTACGATTATTACGGGATTCCATTTAGATTTCAATGCATTGTCGGCGTTTCACGTCCAAACGGCCGTGAACAGAAAAAACTTTCAGATAACAAATCAAAAATGTTTAAATGTATATAACGTACGCGCTTTAAGAACTCTATAATATAGTATTATATAATAAATAATAACATAATGTATAATATATTGATCAAACCATACGCCATTCGTCAAGCGTTTGCAGCCGAAGGAAATTAATTTCAAGAATCGTTGAGAAGCATTATTTATTTACAGCGCAGGACATTGATATTATATAATATTCATATATTAATTGCTGCGTTTACGACTGCCATCATCGGAGCACCTAACTTTTCGCTAAAATCATCTCGTCATCAGAATAAAACCAACGTCTTTAATATTTACACGCTGATCTCAGATGTAAACTGTAATATATTGTCCATATGCTATCGTTTTTATTGTTCTAATATCTCGGTATTTAAAAATCACCTTTTTAGTATAAATCTCGACTATATTCGTATTACCGAATCGGTAAAATAAAAATGTATCGCTCCTCGTCGTATATGCACATGCTGCAGCACTGAAAAACGGTTTGACTATTGCTTGCGTATAGAATATAAAAGTAAGTTATCATGATTGAAAAATGTTTTAAATCCCGTAAATCATTTAACGGTACCATAGCAAAATCATACGACCAGAACGACGAATACCCAATGTATCTATATAATATATATCTATACTCTTCAACTGCAGGTTTGGAACTAACTGTTCGTTCCTTTTTTTTCGATTGAAACTGAGATTTTTTTGTTTCCGTAAATATTCTAATCTGTGTCAGATTCTCCATATAACGTCTACTCGAGGCCACTCGATCCATAACCTACGAAACGTTAAACAACGTATAAGTACTTACGAGTGTTACGTAGTTCTCCGTTGGTTTTCCTACTACTGCAGTACATTGTATAATGTGTACAATATACCTGTATACATATATTATTCTAAAACAGCATACATTACGCCGTGTTATACATGCAGGATTAAAAAATAATTTATCATTCATTTTTAAGTCAATTATTGTAATGACAACCGATATTTTGTTATTTACTAGCCTGAAATGATACCTACTTTTCTAAAAATTTTGATATTCATCGACATAATAAGTACTAATATCTCAAATATGGAATAAACATTTTTATTTATAAGTATTTAAAGTTAGATGAGCGGAGCATGTTATGCCAAGGGGTGCCTACTATTGTACTAAACCTTCAGAAGTTATGTTCCACTACTCAGTTCTCTCTAGATAAAGTATAGATTTGTGCGTAAAAAGAAAATAGTGTTATAAAAAATACTCGAAACTATATAAAAACATTTGTTTCCAAAACGCAAAAAATTACTTTGAAAATTAGTGTAGCAAACTTCAGTTAGAAAATGGATTATTCCGCGTATATATACCTGCAGAGCGTATATAGGTTGTACAATATACATATCCATAGGTATCTATCTATATTATACATCCAACGACTGTCTCTACGCTAATATACGAGCGCGTCCGTTTTTCCGAACCTGTTCGAGTCTAAATTAAATGCGCCATAATGCACGCGTGCAGCATTTACAGCTCATGCATTAATCATTTTACGTGTCGGCGTATATTATACTCTGCAATCGTACTCGCCGTTGTTCCCTGTTCAAGACGTCTGCCAAGTACGTATATACTAATATATTTTTCTCGGAAAGAAAAAAAAACGCAATCGCACAATTATACTACAACTTACACGAGACCGTATGTATTGCTTATATAGACAAGCTTATCTCCGGCGGCGGCTGCAGGAAGAAAACGAGATGACGGGCTCGACAAACAATATCATATAAAAATAATGTACGTGTGCGCGCCCGCGTTTATGGCCACTAGCCAATTCGGAAAGAGACGTCCATCGGCTTTCTCTGCGTCCCTCACAAGTCGGTTATTATTTGATTTTTTGGCCTTACGCACAAACAATAAAAAAGTGTCTAGTCGTCTCGCTGTACGTTGCATATTATATTATACCCACGAGAAAGAAAGCTGTTTATTTATTTAAATTTTAACGGTTGATGAATCGTAGTGCTCTTTTTCGTTTTGTTTTTTTGTCTCCGATGATTTATGATATTTTGACGATTCGTTGTTATTCAAACTTCATGCACAGGTGTACTGGCACCATAGTTGACTGCAGTGTGTGTGTGTGTGTGTGTGTGTGTGTGTGTGTGTGTGTGTGTGTGTGTGTGTGTGGTGTGTGTGTGTGTGTGTGTGTGTGTGAATGTGATGGCTTTTATTCTTCGATAGGCGCCGAAGACAATAGTTGCAGAAGAAACGATTGTGGGTTTCGCCGAACACTTCCATGTATACTCTTGTCTCTTTGATTGTACTATTATGTTTGGTTGTTATATAAAAGAAAGCACTTGCCTACCATATAATATGCTAAATATGAAGAACCTTGCGTTTATGAATATTGCAGCGTGACACGATATATTATAGTATCTATATTATACACTACATAACCACATGTACCTATAGGATATAATTTAAAAATAATAATTATATAAATATGTTTGTGTGTGCTTATTATTTATGCGAGACTCGAGCACCGAGAAAAAAACTCTTGAAACGGCAAACTTTACTAAATCTTGAGAAATGGCCAAACATTATTGAAACATTTGCACTTTAACAGTCGTTTTGAAACTGTCAAAACGCGATCTCGATTATTATTGTAATAACTTTACATGTGTAGTACCATAGGTACTAGGCACCTTAACGATTATTTATTTGTCGAGTTCAAACTCTTTAACATATTCAAATCGCTTTTTCGATATTGACACATTATAAAATAAATATTTATATTTTTATATACTATGATGTATTAATATGTTATAATAAATTTAAATGCGACCATTCTAAAGAAGACATGTTCCATTATAACATAGATATTTTAGCATTAGCATTTGAACTATAGTTATCTAGTTTTTTATGGTGGGTGGATATAGTTAATTCTTAAATTGAAATATGTTTTTAAACAATTGTCATTAGATATAAAAACTTATAAACTTTAGTAATTTATATTTGATATTAATTTACGTATAATTGTATTCCAGGTCAGCTCTCCAATCCTTACACCGGGTGAGCGCTCAAGCCCGTGAACACAACTTTTTCGAAGGCGGCCTTACCCACGATTGGATAACGCATTACGAAAAACAAATCTCCTCCGACCAGTCATGTCTGAACGAATGGAACGCTATGGATTCGATTGAATCGCGTCGTCCTCCGTCACCCGATTCACTGAGAACAAAGTGAGTCTGATCGTCTATATAGTTTAAGAATAACTATAATGCTTGTCAAGCACCTACATGCACTTTTATTTATGGCACTCATTATCCGTCGTTACTTATAGACCCAGCGAACGCGAAGAAACTGAACGCGTGATACGCAGTGCCCTGAAAGAAATCATGATGAGCGTAGACCTAGATGAAGTGACGTCCAAGTTCATTAGGGGTCGTTTGGAGGAAACGCTAGACATGGATCTAGGTGAATACAAACCGTTCATCGACCAAGAAATGCTCACCGTGTTGGGCCAGATGGATGCGGCAACGCGAATATTCCCTCACGTTTACCTTGGTTCCGAGTGGAATGCATCGAACCTCGACGAACTCAGCCGTAACGGGTATAATACAAGCATTACTAATAAAAACAATACACATAGGATGCTATGATATCGAATCAACTATATACTTAATGATAATACTCATCGTATATTCGTATAAATATTTTCTTATATTGAGGGTGAGTCACGTGTTTGAATACCGACTGTTCGATTAAAAAGAGTTCAAAGGTCACATATTCCGATAGTCGAATCATAATTTTATAATAATTGAAGTAAGCTAAATTACAACGTAAATGCACACTACTGGTTATTTTTCAAAGGTGAGAAAATGAATGAAAACAATTATCTAAGTACAAGAGTACAGGTAATTAATCATTAAGAACATTAAGTTATAAGTTAATAGTAAACAAACAATACATTTAACTCTGAAAGCTTAAAATAAGTTAATTCATTTTTTTTAAATTACTACAGTGGTCACAAATTCACAATAGACCTAAATATTTGCGAATGTTTGGAGTTAATCGGATGACATGTTGGCCCCTTAATTAAAATTAATCATAAAATAAACTATAACTATTAACTAATTTAGATAAAAAGTTTTAAAAATTAACTTTTGTTATTTTGATTATAAATTCGTTTATAACTGTTTTAAAATATACACCTAAAATTTTAATTTTTTTTAAATACCTATAATTGAACATTTTATATTATTGGAGCAAATAATGACATTTCAAACACCTTGTATTCCAATAGATCCAATTCGAACAGATGTCCTCCGCCATCATAGCGTACCTATATATATTATATACATAAATATTATATTACTCCTTTGTTTTCAGTGTACGACACATACTGAATGTGACGAGAGAAATTGACAATTTCTTCCCTGGCTCGTTCAACTATCTCAACGTTAGGGTATACGACGATGATAAGACTGATTTATTAAAGCACTGGGACAACACCTATAAATACATCACAAAAGCCGAGTATATATTGAACTCCCGCTCATTTATAATATTATAGTATCAATGGCATTGTGCTCAACTCGTGTTTTATTTTTTTAGACAAGAAGGCTCTAAAGTCTTGGTACATTGCAAGATGGGCGTCAGTCGGTCTGCGAGCGTCGTAATAGCATACGCTATGAAAGCTTACAACTGGTCTTTCAAAAAAGCGCTCGACCACGTTCAGTCTAAACGCACCTGCATTAAACCTAACAAGCATTTCATCCTACAGCTAGAGACTTATCAAGGAATATTGGCCGCGATGAAAAACCGCGAGAAATTACAGCGCTCCAAATCTGAGACAAACTTGGTGGCCACGTCAGGCCTCATCACGCCCCCAAATTCGCCGAAAAAGGCTTTGGACACCCCGAGGTCCCAGAGCGAAGGTGACAAAGACGCCACGCCACCCGATCGGTTAGACAAAGAAAATGAACCAGTCGTGCCTAGTCCGCCGACACGATTGATGCCTCCAAAGTTATTAGACATCAGTGGATACGATTTAATGAAGTGCGGCGGAAGACCAAAGTCATGGTCACCAGAAAATAACTTCGCCACTGACATTTTAACCAGCTCTAGTGAGTTAATATTTTTTCGAATTAACTGCTTTTAATAAAACAGTTTCCTTCGTTATTCCATTACAATATGTGTTCAATTATTTCTAGTAAATAATATAAAAACGAAACCAATCTATGTATATATAACACAATAAATGTTTCTACTTAGTTATGTCCTTTATGCATTCCCAAACCGTTCATCGAATTGCGATGAAATTTGGTACATAGATAGATTAGACTTTGAGGAAGATGATATTCTACATTTTAAGTACGAGGTCCAACCCGGGGAGGTTATCAAAACAGGGATTTTGAGATTTACGATGGAAATTTTTGTTTATAAATGGTTGATATTGGTTTTAATAATAATAATTATTATTAATGCGATAAGCCTATGTATTATAGTACAGAAATACTCGAGTTCAATCCACAGTTTCGGTGGGCTTATTTATGGCATTTTTTGATAGTGAAGCGAATCTCACGGACAACCGCCGGTCGGGATGACTATAAATTAAAATATAATATAATTTACTCTTAAAAAGCTATTAAAAAATTAATAATCACAAAAACCTATAGGTGTATTAGCAAAGCATGCCATGTCAGCTAGTACTTCCATAAATATACATTTTAATTAAATAGCTTAATACTTTTTACCCTTTTCGGCGGTACTACATTGACAAAAATATATATTTTCTATGTGTGAAATTATATTTATATTGCCTTTTTTGGCTCAAAATTACACTAAACATATTCAAAATAGTCACAAAGCATGTTGTATGTATATATTATTTTTAATACTTTTAATATCAATTCTAAAAGATTGCAGACTTCATTAATATATCATTATATGTTGCTAAACCATTTAATGGCCTACTCTATAATGGATAGAATTATTGCATTATCATCGTCTTTAAAGCAGTCGTGAGAATCATTCGTATTATGAAAACCAAACAAAGGTTATTAAGTCATTATGTGCATTTAAATGGTGTCTAAAAAAATAGAACGCGTCCCATAAAAACATTTGGTTGTGAATATTTATAAAAAAAAACAAATGTATGTGTATATTTGCAGCGTTATTGTCTCAGTCGTTGGAGAAAATTAACACGGATAAGATCACTGTCGAAGTGGAAGTAGAAGTACCGAATATTCCACCGGCACCACCGTTGCCTCCATTCGAAGCCCATAAGTACAACGTCAGTGTGTTCATGCCCTGCGGAAACGGTCTAAGATCGTATAGTGTGTCGCAGAACAAAATCGTTCAATTGCAACCAGCTACACCACCACCCCCCAGGTAACGTATATTATTATACGCACTAAACGCAATACAGATATGAGATAATAAAATATTGTCGGTAGAGATCTACTGTGACAGCATGAGTGGATCTATCCTACAAATACATAGGGTATCAGTTGCATAACAATGCCCCCCCCCCCAACCTCTGTATTTTTTTTTTATTATTGATTTTATATCGGAACGTCCATAGACCATAAATAAAAAAATATATAAGCAGTGTTCGGTAAATTATTTTTGAAAAGTAATAAAATTACGTTACTCGTTACGTTCAATATTTTTTATTTAAATTACATTCGCGTTATCTACCCGATATTATTTTTATCACGTTTCGTTACTTTTATATTCAAAAAGTATGGCGTTACAAATAATTACTTTTTTAAAAATTAATTACAAGATCCGTCCATAACGACTAATGAGTATAAGGTATTAATTGTATTAGTATTAATTCCTGGGATCTTTAATAGGTAATATTTTTGATTTTATCTAAAACTTTCGGAATCGTAAATAAATTGTATTAATTTTAAATTTTTCTCGAATATCCTAGCCCCCAGTAGTTTTCATATTCTCTATATTCATAACTCATTTTAATAACGTAGAAAACAACACGTTATCTATAGAAATACGTTTAATAAGTTTAAAAAGTAATTTTGTTACAATTGCTTTAATTTAAATAAAATATAATGAAATTACTACAGCGTTACTGTAAAAGTAATTTATAATTTGCGTTATGTTACTACCCAACACTGTATATAAGTAGATTGTAGGTATATTGTATATATACTCTAGTAGCTAATACACTAAGTTAATCAATTTCTTAAGATTATTTGTAATACTTAAGGAATTTCCTGCAGTAGAGATACAAACTTTTTTGTTTTTAAAATAAGAACCCACCTTTCCGCTGTAAATTATTTGGTAAATAATATTAGTGATGAATATTCATCCATCAACATTAATAATTTGTAAAAATGGTCCAAGTTTAATAAATCCTAGATCCAATTTTACATCTACTTTATATTTTTGTAAAACCATTTTTAAAGATTATTATACTCATCGAATTTTATTAACTGAGGAACTACTCGTTCAAGTTTGAAATTAGGTACTTAAATCAAAATTGAAAAAAGAATATTATCCACTAAATAATTTAAATTATTAAGTATAGAGGGGGGACAGGTTCTCATTTGAAAAACAGAAGTTTGTATCACCACCTCTTACAACACCTACCTGTACCTCGGAAAACTCCTTAAGTAGTACAAAAAAATCAATAATTTGAAAAAGTGATCTGATTACTATTAAAAATTACACAAACTCATAATTTGTATAAATTCATTATTAAGGGAAAAATTTGGAGCAAGATTTTAGGTGAATATCCCCGTAAATGTTGACATGCAATGTCTTAGTGATAAGTGATAACTATCATGTTTTTTTCATAATTATATTCGAAATGTGATAATTTTTTTAATAAAAGTATTATACTTGCAAATATAATATGATTTATAATACTAATAAATACCACAAATATATATAAATGCTTCAAACATCATAATATATACATCACGCATAACATTGTGTTACAGACCATCGTCGGTTAAGCTCCGAGTCAACGAACTGGAGTCTAGCGGCATTAGCAACAGTTGCAGCGGCAGCATCACTAGCAGCAGCACCGGTGGTTGCACGTCTAGTCCGGACCGCAAATCGACGACGGACCCGGGCCGGAATCTGGTGCTGAACCTCACCACCCAGTTTGAGGGCGTAGTGGCCTCGTCGAGCGCGGCCAATTCCCCTTCCGACGACAACGTTCTAGTCAACAAACCCTTACCCGCCGAATCGCCGAAGTTCAGTCGGATAGCCGTCAACCGACCTCCCTCGATCGCCGTTTGTACCGCACAGAAACGGGACGGCGGCGATCTGTTCTCGTCCAGGCTGGACAGGGTGTTTGAACGCGAGGAACGCAAACAGTGTCGCGAACCTCTCGACCATCAATCGACAGCGGTGGTGAGCGCCGGTGACGTGTCCCGGCAGAACTCTTGGAGCTCGTACGACAGCGCTGTCGTACTGCGTGACGTCATATCCAGACACAGTTCTTGGGGCTCTTGCGACACGCGCACCTTGCCGTCCAGGAACAGTTCGTGGGGCTCGTACGACGTTCGGCCGACTATGCAGTACGTCAGCGAACGCGGCGAGAAGCCGGTCGTAAACTCCACTGCCGCCGCAGCCGTCCCTAAAACGGCCGCGGACGAACCGTGTTACCGGCCGGCCAAGAGGCCTAAGCAAAAAGACCAGCAAAAGCTACTGCTGCCCAATTGCTATTCGAGTTCACCGACGCTAGGCCTGCAGGGCGCTTCGCACAAGCTGGCCAACCGGGCGACCGCGTCCCAGCCAAACATATCCGGTCTTGGCAACACCGCCGTCACCGCCTCGTGCAACAACAAGCACAGCAGCCTGGTAAGGAGTTTGAAAGAGGAGTTCGAGGCCAAGGCAGGCGACGTGGTTGAAAAACCTTCGCGGAAGAACAGCAGTGGCGGAGGCGGTGGGAGTTCGGCCGAGGACGACGGCACCGGCACCGAACACGTCAAGAGCCTGCCCACGTCACCGGTTAGCGAACATCCAAAGGTCACGCAACGACCCAGTCCGGCCGCTTCAATGGAGGACTTATCGGTCAGGAAACTTGTTGGCAAGTACGAAAACGGCAGGGCCCGGTCCAAGACGTTCGTGCAGGACAGCGGTTGTCCGCGCAATCCACACTACCAACAGCCGCCGGTGCCGCCACGCGTGTCCAGCCTGGACGTGACTGCGATCGGGCCGCGAAAGTTCGAGTGTAATCCTGTCGTCAAGACGGTCGTGTTGCCCATACAGCAGAGCGACATCCGCGCATCCGTCAACAGGGCGGCCAACAACAAACTACAACAGGGAAAATCGCATCCTCTGACGAAATTGTCGTTCAAATAGCTGAAGGAATCCGAAAAATGCAAAACGCGTTCGAGTCATAATAATATTATTATTATTATTATTATTATTATTACTATAACGTACTTTATGCATGTTGACTCCTAATGAATGTGTTTTTTTTTTGTTTTTTTATTTTGTACTTTTGAATTCTGTTACGTTATAATTTTGTTTTTTCTTTGACAATTCATCTGTGTAACGTTTTATTTTTCATTTTTTTCGATCCGTTTACTGCAGTATAATATTATAGTTGTAAACACTTCTCGTCGTCTCTCCCCCCTCCCACTCCCTCCCCATACTCGACTTTTGTTTTTGTTTTCTAGTCTATAACGCGCAAAACCACCGTATCAACTGTGTACATAATAATATATAATGTTATACAATATTATTATAATACGAGAACTTACCCATACCTATCATTATTACAGGAATCTCTAAGCCGCCGCCGCTTTACTCTAAGACACAATATTAAAAATAAAAAGAAACTAGTGAAAATTATATATTTTACGTATAATTTTAGCATAAGAGTCGATTGTTGTAAAACATATTAACAATTGTTCTCGTTTATTGTACATAGGTGTGCTCTCTCTCGTATAATAATATTATATGATAACTATCTGCCGCGAGTTTTAAAAGTTTCAAAAAAATAAAAAAAAATAATACAATATTGTTTTACAAAGTTGTAGATCTCATTATTTTTCGCTTACCCAGGCGGAAACATTCGCTTCCTCGCGTGTTCCGGCGATCGTAATAACAATATATATGATGGTTGGTCGATCAGTTGTGGGCACCACTTTCCTCCTATATTTAAATAATATTGTGTATATAATTTTGTAAGCTTATAATATATTGTGTGTTGAATAAACAATTTTAAAAATAGATGTTTTATTATTAAACTATAGCTGATCTTGCACGGCGGTGCCAGTGACAATTTATAAATGCCCGTACTTATACACTCCTACTTACCTAAATCCCTACTTTATTTACCCCTACTCCATGCTATTAAACTCCGCTAATTGTAAACTGTGCACATTTTTAACACAGTTGTTTGGGTTGTTTTTACTATAAATATAAAATAGATATAGACAGACCCGGGGTTTAGTCGGAAAATCTCTGAGGGCTGATTAAAATATTGGCCGGTCACGAGTGATTAATGGTTGTAATTTTATTCTTATATGAATTCGAGAAATTATTTGTACAAATATATATGGAAAATAAAATTTAATCGAATTATTAAACCTTACATTAACTGTAGCTCAAACGTTAGAGATCATATTATAACTCGGTGGGCCCATATATGACACCTATTGCCTGGGTACAGCTGTTATACACAGGTCTATAACAGCGCTTTCCATTACCGAACAAACATGACCTAATACCGCTCACAAAAATAGAACAATACCGCATAAATGTATTAAAACCCATATTACATTGAATGATTTGAATTAAATAATTCAAATTCCTTAAAATGAAAATACTCATTCAAATAAAAAAATAAAAATGTGTGTGTTACATCAAAATAATTAAAAATAATATAGTAGATGTGTATCTATAAAACTTATAATAAATTAATAATTTTCGTACCTCTTTCCGCATGTCCCCTGGGGAATCTTCGGGACACTAAAATGAACCAAAAATTAACGAAAATCAAAAACAAATCCTGCAGTGGAGAGGCTGGAACTGATTAGCTGAGTACCAAAAATTACTGGAATACAGTAAAACCAGATGGCTTGCACTAATCGAAAGCAGGCACGGCGCCAAGGGGGGGCAAGGTGGGGCTCTAGCCCCCCCAGAAAACAGATCAGCCCCCTCACCAGCCCCCCCACTGAAAAATATGTACGATATAATTAATGTTTGTTGTATACAGTTAAAAATATTTTTAGTTGACTTATTATTTTAAATATGTTTATTTTTGATTAACACAATACTATTGTGTAAGGAGTTGGTATTCGTACCTACCTACTTATATTAGTTTAGTAATTAGCATGACAAATTTCTTATTTCAAATAATTAAATAATTTATTCAATTTTCTTATTTTGTTATTTTAGATTCTGAGTGAAACGATGAATGTAATGATTTTACAATGATGTGTGTTTTTTTTTTATTTTTTTTGTATCTGTGTACACGATAAGTAGTCGAAATAATGCTTCGATTTTTGACTTCAGTATCTTGTTCGATTGGAAAGTGAATATCGTTGGTGCATTGGGGAGGTCAAAATTTAAAATTCCCAGTACTTTTCAAAAGCGCCAAGAAAAACAAAAGAAAAATTAAGGAAAAACGGGAATTTTTACGCAAAATCGATTTTTCAGAAAAATGAAATTTTCACTGGTTGTTTATATTTGCATTTTCTATACACGATAACATTTTCAAAATATTTTGATTTATTTTGAACTGTTTAGGGACATTTTCATTTTTCATTTTTTTTTAGTTTTTTTTCTAGAAATATCAATAAAATTTTATTTGTTGGTTAAAAAAACTTGAAAATTTAATAGAAGGCTCCTAGTATATTGTTTCAAAGGCAGATGAAAAATATTAAAAATCGTTAGTCACAGTTTTTTTTATAAGCATTTAAAGTTCAAAAATTGACAAAATATGGAAAAATCACGAAAATTAGCAAATTATTTTGAGGTAAGAATTCGTAAAAATTTTTCTTTTTGAATCTAAGATTTGAAAATGTAATACAAGATTACTCATAAGTTTGTCTACCTTTATCAATAAAAAAATCTCTACCGGACAGTCAAATTAAATTTTTATGAGCGTTTGAAATTCAAATTTTTACAACATTGGATGTTCACTCGATTTCTCATGTAGCGATTTCCTTATTTTGTTGTTATTCATAAACGAATAACTATAGATACATGAAAATTTCACTGAATGTTTATATTAGCATTTCCTATACACCATACAATTTTGAAAATATTTTGACTCTTTTTGAGTTGTTTATGGATATTTTCATTTTTCAATTTTTTTAGTTTTTTTTTCTATGAATATCAATAAAGTTTTATCTGTTGGCCAAAAAGTGTAAAAATGTAATACAAGGCTCCTGATATATTGTTACAATATCAGTTGAAAAATATTAAAAATACATAGGCACAATTTTTTTTTATAAGCATTTAAACATCGAATTTTGACAGAATTTTTCAAAATCTCGAAAATGATTAATCATCGTAATTAATAAATTATAAAATGTTCAGTTTTTATAGCTAAGGATTGAAAATGAAAAACAAGATTCCACGTAAGTAATTAATTCTCTTACCGAAAAATCTAAAAAATATACAATCACTGTTTATTTTTATAGTCATTTTATGTTCAAATTTGGACGAAATTACATATTAAAAAACCTAGTTATTTTGTTGTGATTATATAATATTATTCGTGGGTACCTACTTGAAACTTCTAAAGTGTACTATTATATACCTATGATAGTATCAGGGTTTGTTATTGATGTTGATGTATAACATGTTATAAGTACCTAATGGATATTGTGATAATGTGATATGATTAATTTGGAATTTATTATAGGTCAATTTTTTTTAATACCATAGATTTGTATATAATTTATCTTAAACCTAGACTGACATACCGTCTTCGCTCAGAATCGTTTTTCTTATACAATGATATTATATCATTGAATTCAAATTTAATAGCATCCATTATACAGTGACCAACTTGTAACCTACTGTACAGCAGAGCGACATCCACTTACCCACCTTTTTATAATCTTATTTGTCATGGTAATTAGTTCACATATTACTTGATAATTAATAAAAAAAGATTTCTTAAAGTATCTATGTTTTAATGTATATATATGAACTATTTTAACCTCCAAAATTTAACAAAAAATATAAAGTAGGTACTTCAATAGTCAATACATACACTACTATGCAAATACCAATTTAAAAATGTATTGAATTAAAAATTTAAAATATACTAGTTAAATATAAGGTAGGTAATCAAAAGTTTTTATTTAAAACAAATTGTATTCCTACTGATATCAGTGCAATTGTATACATTTTTGTTAACTTTTTCAATATTAAAAGATTTTCAATCATTTACTGTATGGTGCATAAACAGATATTCTATAAAAAATCAATATTTAGCTCATAAAGAAATTATTATTTTTGTATATCATATTATCATTATGAATATAGTTGTTGAAGGTCTTAGGTCTGTGATTAAACATTTTCTTACATATTACATAAGGTACAAAAAAAATATTTGATATTATTCTTAAAACATTTTTAACTATTCAAAAGTTTGTAAATATTATATGTTTAGACGTTTAGAGCATACAATATAAAACGATTAAAACGTATATGTACTATATAGCTAATAGCTATATTATGTTATATGATACGAAAATATTTATATTTCATTTAAATAACCTCAGCATTTGTTGAAACAATTTTAGCCCATGTAAAAAAAATATTTGCCCCACTCTGCCCCCCCTGGAAAAAAATTCTAGTGCCGTGCCTGATCGAAAGAGTTTTCAAGTTATATGTACCACTGAAAGATTAATATTCTTTGAGTATAAAAGTGTTCAACAGTTTCAATGAATTTATCCATGTCCAAATTCCGAGTTACGACATTTTTTGTCAGCATGTGAAAAATAAACTACCAAATTTGTGTGCGGTAATGGGATATATATATTATAGTATTTTAAAATCTGTGTGCTGTGTTGTCCTATAAGTATTTTGCACATTGGTGCGGTAATGGGCGACGCCCGTCTTAAATTATATCCAACCATAATAACTATCTTACTTTCTGCAACCAATGGCAACAATATCTATATACATTTAATAAATGATAGTTCTTCGTGAATCGACTATATTCAACATATTTTAAGACATTCGCTGTAATAGGAAAGTGTATAATCAATAACACTAATTTGTTTTTGAAATATGTTATATTATTATGGTCTATAGTTATTGATTAGTTATTAATGACTATAGAATAGTACCTATCCTATAACAACCCATGATCACATCATATTATATACCACCTGAATAATCGTTCGGTCGGCGCATCTCCTTCAAAACCATCCAATTTCGTAGTCTCCACTTAAGATTGTTCGATTTTTTCCCTATGTTATATAATACCGACAAGGTCGGCGCTATTCAATTTTTTTTTTGGTGGGGGGAGGTGTGTATTCACTTTAATTTTCCAACTAATATATTATTTCAACATACTCAATGACTCACGTAATTTACATACTTCACACTTCATATTTTTAATTCATACATGTAACTTGTTAATCCCATGTAAACTGGATATTTGTATCGTTATTCATTGCAGAGTACTGTCCAATGAATTATTGATACACGCAAATACGCAATTACGTTGAATAAGTTACTAAATAGTAAATAAGTTAATTTAAGTTTGCTGAAAACTATCTGCTCCCATAGAAGAACGTAAACAATTCTTCACAAATTCGTTTGGTGCAGCACTATAACTACTAAAAATCAATCTGCATATTTTATTGCCCTATTATTAAAATATGTTTTAATTCTTCGGAATTATTTTCACTAATGGTTCTAATGTTCTATGATCAGCATACAATTTTGGAACAAATTCACTTAGCTAGCTAGCTTTTTTTTTTTTTTTTTGAAACATACGTATTTCAGCGAGTTAAGAACGATGATAAAAAAAAAAATTGGAATAGTATAACACAATGTTGAATGTTGCGATAAAAGTACTGTGCCCCTTCAACTTTAATCTGACCCGGGGGCCCTGGCTTCAATAGCTCTAAAGATCTATCACCACCGGAATTCAACGACATCTCGAAAAGTACGAAACCGTCGTAGAACCACAATGATACAATTTATTATTTTATTGTATTTCGGAGTAATACATTTTGTGCGTAATGTCGTTAATCGACACTAGCAGCTACACTACTGTCGTCCCGCGTCGGCTTTGATAAGGACGTTATCACTACCCAATACCGATAACAAAATAAAAACAATCTCGAGTAAAATAGTAAATACCTATTACTTACTAAAATGTGCGTTAAATTCAAACATTTGATTTAAAAAAATAAAAATTGACAGCCAATCAATGTCACCGCGACTCTGTTAAGATTTAACGTGGACACAGAAGACCGCGCAAAACGAAAATGAAGTTCCTCATCGACGAGCTGGAAGTGTTGTTTCCGTACGAGTACATATACCCCGAACAGTACGCGTACATGGTGGAACTGAAAAAGGCGATTGACGCCAAGGGACATTGCCTGCTAGAAATGCCGTCGGGCACCGGTAAGACCATCACCATATTGTCGCTGATCGTCGCTTACATGATCAAGTATCCGGCCAAACTCGGAAAGCTTTTGTACAGCACCCGAACGCTGTCCGAGATTGAAAAGGCCGCCGAAGAATTGCGTGTATTGTGCGACTATTACAAGTCGAACAAGTGCGACACAAACGTGCTTGGCGTAGTGCTGTCGTCCCGCAAGAACCTGTGCGTCCACCCATCGATCGCCGGCGAACACAACGGACGTGTGGTGGACGCTCGCTGTCACGCTCTGACGGCGCCGTTCGTGCGCGCCCGCCACGCCGAGGGCGAGACCGTCAACGTGTGCGAATTCTACGAGAAACTCGATTCTCTTGGCAGAGACACGATTCTACCTCCAAACATCTACAACATAGAGGACCTGAAAGAGCTGGGTGTAAAACAAGGCATATGCCCTTACTTTGTGGCCAGACAAACGCTTATACACGCCAATGTCGTCATATACAGCTACCATTACCTCTTGGACCCAAAAATTGCGGGCATAGTTTCCAAAGACTTCAACAAGAACACTATAGTAGTGTTCGATGAGGCACACAACATTGACAATGTCTGTATAGACTCTTTGAGTTCTCACATCACGAGCAACAATCTGGATAAAGCTATGGAAGGACTCAATAAACTGGACACTGAGATCACGTCCATGAAGGAGAGGGACTCACAAAGGTTGAAGGAAGAGTACAGGAAAATGGTCGATGGCTTGAGAGAAATTTACAGAAACCGCGAAGCAAATGCTGCCCTAGCTAATCCAATTGTACCTGATCAGGTATTAAAAATTACCGAACTACCGGGGAGCATCAGAAGTGCTGAACACTATATTGGTTTTATGAAAAGGTTCATTATGTACCTGAAACTCAGAATGAACTCCACCACTGTAGTACAAGAAACTCCTATAATGTTCATTAAAGATGTATACCAGAAAGTATGCATAAATAGGAAACCACTAAGGTTTTGTACTGAACGGTTATCGTCGTTGCTGAGGACTCTAGAAATATCTGAAATCACAGATTTCTCTCCCCTTATCACAGTTGCTCAATTTGCCACCCTAGTATCAACGTACATGAAAGGATTTATGATAATTATAGAACCGTTTGATGAAAGGTCTTCAACAGACAGCTGCGTTATGCATTTTAGCTGCTTAGATGCCTCGATTGCCATCAAACCAATTTTAGACTATTTCAATACCGTTCTTATAACGTCAGGAACGTTATCGCCATTAGATATGTACCCCAAGATTTTGAACATCAATCCAGTAATAATGACGTCCTTAACCATGACATTGTCCAGACAGTGTTTTTTGCCTATGGTGGTCGGTCGAGGTAATGACCAAGTAGCACTGACGTCCAAGTGGGAATCAAGAGAAGATTCTTCTGTTGCACGTAACTATGGACATTTGTTATTGGAAATGGTAAAAGTGGTACCCGATGGTGTCGTTTGTTTTTTCCCATCATATTTATATATGAAATCTGTGGTAGCTGCCTGGTATGATCAAGGATTAATTGAAAAGATTTTAGATTATAAATTGATATTTATTGAGACACAAAATATCGTTGTCACGAACCATGCAATAAAATGTTATGCAGAAGCCATAGAACGTGGAAAAGGAGCGTTGTTATTGTCTGTTGCAAGAGGTTTGTTATTTTTGTATACACATATTATAATTAATAATGAAATATTGTAAAAACTTATATTTTATATCTTATAATATTCTACTGAATATCAACTACTTATCGCTTTTAATCGTATAAAAAAAAGTACATTTTTTCATTTGTTATTGAAACATATATAATAACCCACATTGCAATATTCATTATTTAAATAAATTATTTATTTGTATTTTATTTTGTTTTATACATTTGTTACTAATACACATTGTCTTTGTTTACAGGTAAAGTATCTGAAGGTATGGATTTTGATCATCATTATGGCCGAGCAGTAATTGTTTTGGGTATGCCATATGTTTATACTCAGTGCCGTATATTAAAAGCTCGCATGGAATATTTATGTAGTCAGTACCAAATATCAGAAGGTGATTTCTTAACTTTTGATGCGATGAGACACACTGCCCAGTGTGTGGGACGTGCAATCCGTGGTAAAATGGACTATGGCATCATGGTGTTTGCAGATAAAAGATTTGCCAGACATGATAAAAGAAGTAAACTGCCAAAGTGGATACAAGCGTATCTAACTGACAACGTTTGCAACTTAACGGTAGATGAAGCTGCACAAATGTCCAAACGTTGGCTAAGGTATATAGCACAACCTGATCCAATTGAAAATCAAATGGGAATATCATTGTTGGATGTTAATGGACTGAATAAAACTGATTTCTTAACAAAAGTAGTACAAAAGTGTTGAGTACCAGCTCCATGTAAAATGTATACCTATTTAATTTATGTTTTTTGTAATTTTGTCTAAACTTTATTAAGGATTATCCATATAAGTGTTCAAATTAATTTATATTTGGAACCAACAATGTATTATATTATAGTTTATTATGAGATTATTTACAAAATGTCTACTATTAATAAAATTATATTATCTAAATTGTATGTTGGTTCTCACGATAATGGCAAAAAATTATTCATGATAATAACCAGTGAAATAACCCAGAGAGATCAGAGGGTGTGTGCGGTCGCACCTGGGCCCTAACTATATTTTTCTTATTGTTCTTAACGTACTTAAATTGAATTTTAATTGTATGAATCTGTAGTGAGTGTGAATAATATGTTATGTATTGGGCTCAGAATTAAATGCACTTTTGAGTTATGACCTAAAAACTCTAAACATTTCCGGGAATTAACCCAGGATTTCTACAGAAGTCAAAATAAATTTGTGAATCATTTTATTTAAAAACCAGATTTCCTATCTTATTTTAGTATTTAATACAATATGTGTATTTATATACCCGCCACCCGGCCCCACATATTTAGATATTGTAGGTAAGTAACTGTCTTAACATATTGATGGTTGAGCGTGATTAAGTAAATAATTCTGCATTTTACCGGTACATAACCCATTTGAAATTAATTTCTAATGTGTAACATTAAACATTCAAAACAGACAATTTCGTATAAAAATAATTTTTTTTAAAAAAGGTGGGCAAATGTGGTATTGCTTTGCTGTACAGTAGTTTACCAGAGGGTCACTGTAATGGATTGTGTTAAATTTGAATACAATGGTATAGTATCAGGGACGGATCCAGGGGGGGCTAAGAGCCCAGCCCCCCCAGACATATTTTTTTATAAATATAAATATTATATATTAAATAAAAAATAAACAAAATCTAAACTTCATTTCACATTGCAGCTTTATGTATTAATTAATCAATAATTATTTATCACATTGATTACATATACCTACATACCTACTTTTATGACAACATTTTTAAATTGAGAATAAAGTATAACATTTTGTTATACCTAATTGTATTTGTGTTGTAAAAAAATTGTTGCCCCCCCCCTCCCAGATCTTTGCTCTGGATCCGTGCCTGTTTAGTATAGTCGTATAGATATAGTATGAATGCATGATAGAGTACGAGCGTCGAGCATACATTATTGTTGGGCTACCGGTATTTTCGGTATACCGATAATTATTTATAACCGGTAATACCCGAATACCGGATACCGGTATCAAAATTTTAAATACCGCCAGCCCTACATTATTGGCATAGCCAACAATCGAGTTTTCAATCGCAATGTTTGATTGCGTTAGTTTATGAACGCAGGTCATAAGTTTCTATTACCTGTGAATTAATATAACTTGGAAAACTTTATTTATATCGAGTCAACAGCCCCGGGTTCTCAAGACCGGTTCGTGTAGTTTAGGCAGCTAACCAACTGCTCCTTAACTGTATAGAATTAGGTATAAATATCGACAGCCAGTTGGTTTGAAATTTGAATAACGAGAAAGTGTGTTGTATGATCCTGTTAACACCGAAAACCATTCATACAGATATAGAAAAGGCTATACATATACTACAGTATGTATGCAGTTAAGCCGGAAATAGATTTAAGGAAGTAATTTTTACTTAGGACAATCATGGTGGCGTAAAATTCAAGATCTAAATTTGTTCTTTTTTTATACAAATGATAATTCTGAAATTGGTAGATTTTTAAAGTGTACTTATATTATATTTGAATTGCCATTTATAACACCAGATAAAGTAGGTAGGTGATTTTTTTCTTCTAATCTGATGGGGATCAATAAACCAGTTGCGATGGGAAATTATATTTATTTTTGGATTACTTACTTGATAGGTAATTATATATTTCACATTTTCACCTGGATCTACTTTTCCACCTCGTATATGGGCTGAATTTTCACGTAGTACTTTACGTACCACAAATTAATGTAATGGAATATTTTATAATGCCCACCCACAATATTTATCAGTTTGTAGAAGCTTTAAAATATATTCATCAAGAATCCTGCATCAAATAATAAGAAGCACTCTAAAACGAAGGAAACTTATATTAGCTAAAGAAGATTATATTAAATAAAAAATGTATTACTGACATTACTGTTCAAGTAATAAATCAAATATCACGATCGGAATTTGTAAAAAATATCCACTCCAATTACAAATATGTAAACGTTTATTTCTTTTGTCTATAGGTTATGAATATTATTAATATTATTAATACGACAGTTTGATTTGACTATTTTATATTTGCTACATTTTTTATTATTATATATTATATAACATTACAATTAAATTATGAAAATGTACCTACTAGTAATATTCTAATTAATGTATTGTTACCCCATCCAAACTTACATTATTTGCCTATACTATACGCCGGGTAACATCTAGGTTGGAGCTAAGTAGGTATAACAATATATTATTAATCTTAATATTTTATACATATTACTTATACACCCTACTTATTAGTATTTAAACCTAATTTAGTGTAGTTTATACTTTATACCCTAGATATAGGTATTACAGGTATTTTACAACTATTTATACTCTTGCCACAAGAGTCAGATAGACGACCGACCGATGCGTCTGATTTTACTTTCTTGATTTTTAATCAAGTAAGTATGGTAATTGAAATGAAAAAAGACTGAATTTTGAAAACTTCTAGAATTTGTGTTAAATAGGAAAATAATAAAAATATAACTCAGTAATGATGAGTAGGTGGGTAATTAAGCTATCTTTAATATAAAATATTAATAAGAGAGATTAATTGATATCACATCCAAGGGGTTTTTTGAATCAATAAAAACATCGGCTTGAACAGTCCAAACATATTTATTTTTTTTATTTTTCTCCTAAACTATGATAGCTAGAAAGTTGGTTGGTAACTCATTAAAAAGGGATTATCAAGTATAATATACTAAATGTGGAATTAATATTTTTTTTAAAAAATTATTTAATTTTTCACAGATAAAATAAGTTATTTTTCGCTAGATTTTCATTTAGCAAGGTAGATTTCCGAAACTGGAGAACGGATTTTGTTGTTTGAGGTCTTATTAGATTCACATTAGCTAGGAGAAGTGCAGTGAAGATTTTTAGAACTTTATCTCCAATCGTTAATTCACTACAAAGCTGTAAAGCAGAAAAACATCAAAAAACGCCCAATAAAATTTGTTTTAATTTTTTTTGATGTTCTTTAGTGAATTAACTATTAAAGATTAAAGTTCTGAAAATCTTCACTGCACTTCTCCTAACCAATGTGAATCTAACAAGACCCCAAACAACGAAATCCGTCCTCCAGTTTCGGAGATATATCTCACAAAATGAAAATGATTTTTTGTGGAGCTGTTCCCACCGACATTTTTCTGGATTCAAATTGTTATGCCGCTTGAGTGTGATATCAGTTAATAAATTTATAAAAATTAAAAATCAAGAAAGATTACATGTCGATCCCTGACTTGGCAAGCGTTTTTTTTTCCGTTGAAAAACCAGATAGCTGTAGCTCAGTAAGTTTTTTTTTGTTTCTTGACAACTTGAAAAGTTTTGTAAAATGGAGTTGTCTTATTTTTGTACAGGCCCCTTCAAGAAAAGATAATTACTATCGCATCGAGATATCTCGAAGACAATGGAAAACATACATAATTAAAATGTATAATATAGGTAGATATTTGAATGTATTATATAAATTTTTTTTTAAATTGTTAATTAATTAAATAATTACAAGACGTATTTATATCTTTCAAGATAAGTTCATAACATCATTGCTTTGTAAATTATAAGTTAGGTAGGTACTTGCCTACCATTATTATTTCTGCATACATATTTGTACATATTATTTACATATTTACATATTTGTTACATATTATTATGTTTAAAAAAATGTAGGAAATTTTTGTGGGGGCTGTTGAATTTTTTGGGGGGACTCAGCCTCTAAATTCCTTATTTCCTCCAACTACCCCACCAATCACTACAATCACTCTAACCAACATACCACTACACCCACCTTTTTAGGGCTGCATCCGAGTTCCGTCCCGAGAACCTTTTTTTATACCAATTCCGTCCCTGTTAAAAAAAAGGTATATACCAATTCCGTCCCAGTTAAAAAAGGGTATATACTAATTCCGTCCTTAATAATTTTCATAATTTAGTCGTAATAATTAATATAAAATTGTTGTTATAAAATGCATACAAAAAATATAAGTTTCATATTATTAGTACATTTTCATAATTTAATGGTCATAATATTATATACATTTATAATAATAATTAAAAATTCAGTAAATACTAAATAGTCAAAGTATATATACATATTTATAGTAAAAAACATACATTTTTACAAATTTGTAGTTGGATTGAATTTATAGGATATTTTTTTTACAAATTCCAATCGTGATATTTGACCTGAACTGTATTCATACATTTTTTCTTTAATAAAATCTTCTTTAGCTAATATGGGTTTTCTTCGTTTTATACTGCTTCTTAATTTGATGTAGGAATCTTGTTGAACATATTTTAAAGCTTCTATAAACTGATAAATATTTGGATGGGCATGATAAAACATTCCATTGAATTTAGAATGGAATGATTCACAGTTATTTGTGGTACGTAAAGTACTATGTGAAAAATCAGCCCATATACGAGGTGGAAAAGTAGATTCAGGTGAAATATAATTATCAACTAAGTAATCCAAAAATAAATCTATTTTTTCATCAACTGGTTTGATTCCCATTAGATCAGAAGCAAAAAAATCACCTACTTCATCTGGTGTTAAAAATGGCAATCCAAATATGTACTTTAAAAATCTACCAATCTCAGAATTATCATTTCTAAAAAAAGTGGACAATTTAAGATCTTGAATTTTACGCCACCATGATTGCCCTAAGTGAAATCGACATCCTCTTAAATTTATCTCTGGCCAAACTGCATAAACAGCAGTATGTATAGCACATTCAAAATCTGCGTAAATGGTTTGCGGTGTAAATTGTAACTGGAGCTTATCACATTCTGCACATAAAAATTTAAACGCATGTTCATACGTGTTTTTTGCTTTGTTTGGCAGTAAAAAAAATACTAGTGGAATAAAACTGTTTGGTTCTTTTAATCCATGAATAGTAAAAAATTGGGTAAATTGTTTTGGGCAACATTTAAAGGTTCCATCAACATAAATAGTACTAATTTTGCTTAAATGAGATAAGTTTGTATTGCAAGTAAACATAATAATGTGTGTAATTGGATCATTTATAATTAAAAAATTTTCGTCATTATTAGTATGTATCGTAATTTGTTTCAATAGTTCATGAACGTCTTCAATGGTTGTGGGTAATTTTGATAATATGGAAGACCTCGCACGGTGTATATTTTTTCTAATTAAGTCTATATCATTAGAGGTAATAGTATTAATATCATGATTAGAAAGTTCTTTATGAATAAGTTTAGCTGGTTTTTCACATATATCATCAACAGCTTTTCTTTTTAATTTATTATTAAGTTTTTGACGATTTAAATTAGTTTCTTCGGTTTTATCATGGCCGTGGTCTAAATTTTCAAAGACTATTTTTTTTTTTCCTGATGCAAAACCTGTTGAATGGTGTATAACAGTTATTAATTGTTTTTATTGAGGTATTTTAGAAAAAAATCAGATATCTGCATTTTAAGTTTAATGAATATTTGGTGAATATTTTAGCGTTTTTAAGAACGTATTAGCATTATATTTTAAGCATTAAAGAACCTAAATATCCGCTCTTTAATTATTATAAATTTAGTTATCTTACCAATTTTTATATATGCTTTGCATTGTTTTCGAATGCACTTCCATCGTTCAATATCGTTATTCAACTCTTTGTGAAAACAAAATTTAAATTCATTAATAATAATTAACATTTTACCTTTTTCACTGTACATATATTGTAGACTATCCATTTTTAATATATATTATATTAACGAAGCACGGACACGCACAAATAACGACTGAAAAGTTTATTTGGTTCAATAACTGAAATCATATTATCTTTATTTCTTAATAATATGATATTATTAAATTCGATTATTTGGTGCGATAACTGATACCATATTATCTTTATTACTAAATAATGTGATATAAAGGGCTGAAGCCCTCCCCATTGCCCGTATTATTGTTACTTTTTCAAAAAAATATTAATCAAGTTAAACTGTCAACTATAGTAAGCAAGAAGTAAATTTCATATATTATGTCTTACCAGAATGAATTCATTTTTGAAAGAACATTGTATTTGCATACCAATTTTCATAAATTATCTGTAATTTTTAGGTAAAAGTATGAACTACTTGTATGAAAGACCTTGTATTAAATTGTCTAGCCTTAGCTATATAATATATTTTATATTTTATAAGTTTTTAACTACAAATTAACTGTCATTTTGACAAAATTTGAACTTTAAATGCTTATAAGAAATAACCATGGTGCCTATGTAGTGTTTGAAGTATGAAATATTCCACAAAAACCTGACACTTTGAAATTATTTTACACAAATAAAAACACAATTTATTTATTTTTTTAACACAATGTTCAGTGTTCTAAATTCTAATGACAGAATTCAGTATTTATACAATAAACATGTATAATATTGTATACCTACTTGTATCATTTAAACATTAAAATATTTAAAAATTTTGAATACCATTTTAAATGTATAATACCAAAGGTTAGGTATACTGTATACATACAGGTACTATATAGCTATGAAGGTAATTTATATGTAAATATAAAACTTATTTAAAAATAAAACAAAATATATCAAAATACTGAAATATTTCATTTTTTTTAAATTTCATGAAATTTTCAAACACTATGCCTATGTATCGTTAATATTTTAGCTATAATAAAATAACTTACATATTACATTTTTAAAGTTTTTGACCGGATAAATATAATTATGTAATAATAATTAAATATAATTTTTTATTAACATTTATATAGAAAAAAAATTTAATTATTCAAATACAATCCAAGTGAAGACGGTATAACCAAACATTTAAATAAATTTTCATTTTTTTTTCTCCAATTATTTTTAAAAGCACTGAGAATTTTCAATTTCGACCCCCTAAAAGTACCAACTAGATCCTATTTGCTTCCAAAAACATACACTGGGCATCGAAGCTTATGATCAGAGCATTTTTTCTACCAGAAAGTTGAAAAGTTACAAAAATTTTAAAATACCTCAAATAAACGTCTGAAATTATTAGACTGGACAAAATAAAAATGTAACTAATTTTCAAGCCCCCCCCCATTGAAAAATCCTGCGGACGCCACTGATATCGACCATATCCGTTATCTAGGCTTAAACCTAGACAGCCAGTTACACGGGCATTTCTCTCACATCCACGATAAACAATGTTCAATGACTCATATTTAGCAATATTTTACATTTACGCCAACTTTGATTCTTAAATTCTTAATTCGTATTACAATTCACAAAACACCTACATTTTTAAAACCAACACTTATATCACTCTTCTCCACGAATGAATAGATCAACTATAGTATTTGCTTCCTAGTTCTCATCAGGATCATATTTTGATCAATACACCTATTTTTAAATATTTATTAAAGGTATTTTAGCAAACAGTTTTGCTATTTTGATTACGTTTTTTATCATCAGCTGTTCCGCTTATATCTATAATGGTGTTATTGGTAGTATCACAGAACAATAGTATCTACTTGAAAAATGATAACACTGCAGTATCAAAACCTTAGATATGATCTAAGATCAAAACTCAAAACCGACAGCGGACAAATCTTTAAATATATTTTATCTGAGGGATAATAATATAAGATATTGTGAAACGTTGTTACTATTGTTTCTAAAATATTCGAATAGTACTCGTGAATATTGAACGACCGTGGTGATTCGCATTTCGCCGTGGCCCTCGGGTTCTATTAACTGTTTGTAAATGTTTCTAATCGGACCTATTACGGTGACGTTTTCGTACGTAGCGGACCTGGACTGTTCGTGATATTCAATTGACTATGTGTAAGTGTACCGTGTACGTAAATATTAAATATAATATTATGTTGACGTTTGGCATATTTTGTCACTCTCTTTTATACTACTCCACTTCGGTAGTGGTGACGAGGCGGTCAGTCCATTAGTCTTACCTAACACATGAGACTATCAAGAGAATGTTTTCTAAAATCACGTTTTAACGCAGGTTTATACTACAGGTTTGTCGGCTGCACGATGCGTGTTCCAAAGTATGCTTTCCGGAAAGCTGATGATCCCTACTACTGTCAATGTCACGACGCTGCAGGGCCATGGTTACTGGCCGAAATGTCAGTGGACAAACATAACCATTGTATCAAGGAGAAGGCCAACGATGTATTTCGCTCCCAGACGTTGGATCAATACTACTGCCTCATTAGGAGCTTCAAGAAATTATTATGACGTACTGGGTGTTCCAAGAGATGCCAACCCAAAGCAAATCAAAGACGCCTATTACAAACTGGCAATGAAACACCACCCCGATAAAAACCAAGGAGTACTTACTGAACAGTTCAGAGACATCAAAGAGGCATATGATGTATTGAGCAATGAATCTAGTCGGATGAATTACAATAAAAATATGGGTAATTACTTAAACCCTTATATATTTGTACATAATTCACTTTTCAGTTTTCATTATAATTATCTGACAAATTTAAATTTAATTATCTTCTTGATCTTTGTGCTTTATGATATAATTTTTTTTTTTTTTTGTTATTGAGCTTAAACCCGGCAACTATGGCCATTAGGTGTTTGTTGTTTTGTAGGGTGGGGAATGGTTGGTTGAACACGTGTATTTTAAGTTTGGCAGAATTGAAAGGTTTCTGTCATGCCTGGTCGGGGGATAGCGGTATCACTCTCTAGACAGTTACCTGCCAAGAGAGCGGAGCCGCCCGTGGTCGAGGTTCAAACCAGCGACGGATCGCATTGAAACCGATGCCGTAGTCTGCTCGGCCACTCTGCCCCCCTTGTATAATTTTTATAAAACTTATTTTTGAACAATTAAAAGTATGTAGGTATAGACTAGGTATAAATTATTCAAAAAAAACTTTGAATAAATAATTTAAATTTACTTTTCATTTATTTATCTCTTGTTTGTTTATGTAGATTGTAGATGATTAACATTATTCTCTAAATACCTAAAATATTGACCAGGAATTATGTTATTTTTTGCAGGTTCTTCAAACAATAACTATGGTAGTACATCTAATGATTGGACATCTAATTCTTCTTATGGCCGTTATTACACAAATCATGAACATACATACAATAATAAAAACTGGTCAAGAACTGAGTACAGCCATCAAAGAACCAAACGTGCTGGGGGTTTTGATAAATTCAAACCATTTAATGTGTTCATAAATGTCATTTCAGTGCCCAAGAATATTGTAAAAACTCAAATTGATATAATGTTATTGAGCTTTATCAAAAACCGTACATTAAAATGGATTGTGTTCCAACTATTTCAATATCTATGGACGTGGGGGTTAAAAAATTTGAATTATAATGTACTGATATCGTCGTCATCGACTAACAATCCATTTGCAGAATTCATTAGAGGTTTGTTGGATAACCATACAATAAGGATTGAACTAACAGAAATGGAAGCAATAAAGGGTAAAGCTGTCAGAGTGAAAGTAAATGAAAATGAAAAAGTTCTAGTGGTCAATATACCCAGGGGAGTTCGTAAAGACCAATCATTCTACCTGTTTTACCTGAATAATGATGATGATAACACCAAAATTTAAAGGCTGAAATTTGTTACAATTTTTCTGTTTGTTAATTGTTTGTTAAATGAATTATATTGTGTTTATTTCCAGAAATGTGTATAAAGCATGCCTTTTTAAATGGTACAAATATCAATGTCATAAGGAATTGTTATCAAACATGTGTAGCACAAGTGTGTATATTATGCAGATCAACATTGCTAGAAGTAAAACAACAAATTAGTACATTTGGCTTGGGTTTACAGGCATTTGTGTGCGGATAGGAAGATAATTACTGAATATTATTGAAATTGATTATTTATTCTGAATCATCTTTGACATTTTGCTGGTTAATCATAGAAAAATTATAGAAAAAAATATTATGAGACTAAGTTCTGATTTTTGGACCTAACCTAACCTTTCCTAAGATTTCAACATTCCTACACTCTACAATAGTGAACATATAACTATTTTATCAACTATGTTTGTATAGTTTACTGAATATCCAACTGTCATATTCACAAGCACACAGTGTATAATAAGTACAGTAGAACTCCGATTATCCGGACTAATTAGTGTCAAGGGTGGTTTGGATAAGCAAATATCCGGATGATTGACATATGACAATTTAAAAGTTATTTAGGGACATTGCAACATGACAATTCACTCGTTATAATAATATAACAATTGACAGACTAAACTGTGCAACGATTAGACAATAACTGACCATTGGGGGGTGCATAGGGGACTTTTGCACCCCCGAGTTAAAAATGTGCACTTCCAAAATATAAAAGACTTAATCTACAATATTTTGATTATTTTGAAGTAAATATTATCAATAAATACAAAAATGTTGTAAGTTGGTACTTCACAATTATGTTCCAACATTCTCAGCTATAACAGCATAACATAATATTATGAAATAATCTTTAGCTTAGGACCTTTTTTTTTCGTCTGTTTGATTGGCGTTCGGATAATCGGAGTTCTACTGTACTTAGGCAAATTCCACTATTACCATATATGTTATATAAACATAATTCAGATAATCTTTTCTTAAAGAGTAGTATGGTGAAGTATATATAGTATATACATACAAAAATATTTACTGTACTTAATGACAATTATATTTCCAAAAAAAACTTTAAATAAATAAAAGTGAATATTGAATTATTGAATTTATATATTTTTACTAGCTGATCCCATGCACATTGTTGCCCTTAAAAAAATGACAACTCAAAAAACTGTGATTGTTCAAATCCTTTTGTGTGTAACTTCCTGCGTTAAATACAACTCAGCCACCTCGGTCCTCGGTAGGCAATGTGTGAAAATTTGATTTGATGTATGCTTGTCCCTGATATGTCCGAATAACCAATGGCAACCAATAATAAATAAATACTAATTTCTACTAATTATTTCTCCTATAACCAATAGCAACTATTTATAAACGTTTTCTATTGTAAATATAAAAATCCCTGTTTGAGCACCTCCCCGGGTTCAATTGTGAATCCAAACCATTCAAGCCACACAAAAAATTTCACCAAAGTCGGAACAGCCATTTAGGAAGAGTTTGAATACTTACTTACGGAAAGAAATATATATATTTTTTTAATTTACTGATTGAATGTATTATTCTGCTTCAGATTTAAAATCTTTAATCATTTCAAATAACCTGTAATGATCATAAATGTATTTACTATTTATATACATTTAAATAAAATCTGTGAGACAATATAGTGAACAAATTATTTTATAACCACAAGCCATAATGATGAAATGTACTAACTTAGGTGTAACATTTTTAATAAAGTTTTTTATTATTATCCAATTTTAATTAATAGTCCTGATGTTATATACTCCCAGACTTCTGAGATAAACTTGTGATAAAATATTCAAAAATGATTAATTCAACAATTTAACCCATACTGTATTATGACAAAGTGAAATTAATATAATTTGCTATATTATGTGAAACAAAAAAAATCAAAACAAGAACTAATGCATCAAATTGTTTGGAAAATATCCTATATTAATTACATAATGAATTTCTATAATATAAATACAGTCATTCAAATTATAGGTTACAAAAACATTGGAAACATATAAATGAACAAACAGTTAATTGTGTACTATTGAATATACAATTTTTATCAATGTGAACAACAAAATGTATACTGAATACAATAACATAGTTATTTTTCTTTATTTATATTTAGTATTTAAACACTTGATAGTTTATATTCCACTAATTTGTCTGGTTCTATTTCGACAGGATTTCTTGTAGCATCAACATAATGAAGAATTAATGAATCTCCATTAAATATTAAGCCATCAGTAACCATACGACCAATTACACGGTCCATTTGATTTGATAAGTGTTCACCATCTTCTAGTTTGAATAAACGCAGTTTAGGAGTATTGCTTTTATCATTTCGATTTTCAATTTTTAAACGAACCGCAAATAAATCTATACTTCTGCCAACTGTCCAAGTTTTACTGGTGAATAAGGGCACAGCTGAAGTAACTTTATTATCTTTAATGGGTGGATGAATAGTAAAATAAACTCTGTCGATGACTGGTATTTTATTATCACCCAATGCTTTCCCTTTGAGTTTCATTAAACGAATTTGTTGGGCCATACGTCTCTTTTCTGGTTGTAATTCGGCTTGCCTTAGACTCGCTTCAATCTAAAATAAATGTGATTAGTATTGTTTTAGGAGAAAGATTTATTTACCTACTTTCTTATCAGCTTCTTCTTTAGCTATTGTAAATAGGTCTTTTGATTTTTTAGCCGCTTCTTTTAAAACTTTCCTAGCTTCTTTCCCGGGGAGTTCATCTAGACAACCATGATGTCTATGCGCCAGACAGTAATGTTTATCACACTTTGGGCATAACATTTCACAGGGATTTTTTGATATACAAGTATCAAATGTGCATTTGAACCAAGTCGTTTCCTAAAATATTATGAATCAATTAAATAGAATCCCTTAAATTGTGTAAGTTCCATTAAATGTATTATTATAATTTAACGAGATAAAAATTATTCAAATATTTATCTTTTGGGGTTCGAATTTTAAAATTAAATCATGATCAATTATATAAAATTAATATCATGCAGTAGGAATTTCTTACCAGCTTTGGTCCCAAATCATTAGTACATTCAACGGGAACACATTGATGACTATCAAATGTTGAATGGTCTTTACAAAACAGGGCATGACATTTATCGCATTTAACTGGCAAAAAATCCAATTGTTTACAGTCCTTGTTGGCACATTGTTTACCAAAATCTGGAAACTCCATGATAAATGTGTCAAACTCTGGGTGGTGGAGGCAATGGATTATCACTAAGTATGTTTGTAAGAGCCAAATCTGTCCACTTTGTGTCCTGTTGGGTAAGTGTCAAATGAGCATCGGTGGCGTCCGCCTCAGGATCGGGTAGTTCTTTAATGGGAACCACTATTTCGTCAAATGACAAGTTTTCTTGACGCCACTGGTCGTCAATTAGTATTTGCAAACGACAGTTGGCTGGAGGGAAACTATCCATAACATTAAAAATTTACCTGAAACATAATTTAACATTATAACAAAATAAATCAAGGTCTACCTACTATGACATGGATATTACATTTTAATTTTGATATCACTTACTCGCTCAGTCACACACATTAAATAATATAATACAGAAGACTGCTTCTTGTTCAAAATTGTTTAAAAAATTAAAACGTACAACCGTACAGGACCGGAGGACGAAGAGTTATAAAAGTGTAATGTGTATAAAGACGGAGTGACGGACCAATAAATTTAATCATAAATTCATAATATCATATTTTAGTATTTTACTGTTTCAAATGATATCAATTATCAATCGTTGACGACCACCGGGTTTGGGGTACTTGTCCCGAAATTTCATGGAAAAGAAAACCTAATCTAGCCAACTGCCAATTAATGAGTTCAAATTTTCAATTCAGAATTTAGTACCTATTCCGTCTACGGATTCACAGCTACGTTGTGTCTCGTGTCGTGCGATGCAGTGGCGTCTGCAGGGGGGGGTCTAACGGGCTGCAGCCCCCCCCATTACCCGTATTGTACTACTTAAAAAAAAAATATTTATCAAGTTTCAACTGTCAACTATAGTAAGCAAGACATAAATTTCATATACGTCTTACCAGAGAGAATTCATTTTTGAAAAAAACATTGTGTTTGCATACCAATTTTCCTAAAATTATCTGTAATTTTTCGGTAGTAGTATAAACTACTTAAATGAAAGACCTTACGAACATTTTAAAGTACCTCAAATAAACGTCTGAAATCATTTACTGTTCTATGATAAAGTTGACTAATGCATTCAAGTTTAAAATAAGTGTAAACATAGGTGCGTATATAATGTATTTAAAATATAAATGTTAATAATTTTTTTTAAATACCTACAACCTAAGGTGTTCTAAGGTGTATAGTGCATTGTATAATAGTTAAGCAAAAAAGGTAGGTACCCATACGTATCAAACTTAGAGCGGTGTACTGTTCGGGCTCACGTATTTTATACATTGCGCTTTAAAAGTGATAATTTGAAGACAATTTCTTAAAACTACTAAAATATTTTTTAAATTATGTGTTATAATTCATATAGCGTAGCGCCGACGCAAATTTTTCAATTTTTATTTTCGGAAACATAGTTAAATCAACTTTTTAGAATGATTGAGCAAAAATAATTCTGACACCCACCCATGGTGGTTTTACATAACAAGTCGATGGATGTTTTTGATGATAATTGACTGAGCGATCGCAGCCAGGTATACGTCCGGTATATATGAAAATACCCAAAATTTAAATTACTTATAACTTTCAAATAAGTCTGACCACCAAATTCAGACTTCAATGTAATTTTCAATTAAAAACTAATGATTTCCGGCAATTAATTTTTGCAATATCGTTCTTAATTCGTTGTAACTTGTACTATCGCGATGGAGTGTTGTCCGACGATTTAATTTATTGGTTAAAACCGGTCTCTTTTTAGGCGTAAATGACGTTATCACTGGAAGTAAAAAGAGTGTTTCAATTTGCCGTTCTTCGTGGTAATTCAATTTGATCGGGACCAAGAAGATAATGTGAAAATTCATAGACGCGCCAGCAAAATCTGACTTTGTTAGTATTTAGGTTTTAGAACTAAAATTTACTTTTGAAATTAAATATACTAATAAATTGTGCACGACAACATTTTTAGAAAAATAAATAGTAAGTATGAAGTATGAAATATTATTTTATCGATCTTTAATGACTATGTAATGATTTTACAGCTAACAATAATTTCTTAGGTCTCGCAAACTTAACCTCACTCCGATAATTGGTCGCTCATCTGTAGTGGATAAGCCGAAATCTACCCCACCTCGCTGTCTGCAGATCAAGACCTATAAATTTGTCAATTCGAAAGAGGTGTTTACTAAATATTATTTGCTATATAAAATAACACGGTCTACATTTTATACTGGCAACTATAGATGCCTGTAAACAAAATGAAGACTTTTTTTCCATTTTAAATCGACGACACGACTCCGTGGGATCCCCTTATGCATTAATTCCGCGGTTTTAGCTATAAATAAAACGGATTCCTAGAATTTCACACACCTACTAAACCACGTATAGGGTTAAATAATATTTCAAATTAATAAAGATGTGATAATCGGATATCAACTCGTTCCAAATATTTGACACCCTCACAAACAAAAATGAACTCTGCTGTAGCTGAATTGCCTATGCAATGCGCCGTGTTAGCATAATTTTGTATTTCGTTTTTTTTAAATAATATATTAAAACTATATTATTTTACTATTTTAACTATATATTTAGAATCCAAAACAGAAAAAACAATATTGCCAATGATTAGCTAATTAAAGAATGATGATACAGAGGGCACCTGCTTGTTAACAATATTCAAGTCTATACAAAAATTTAAACTAGAGTCAAATTCCTAAAAAAAAAATTCAAGGGGAGTGTTGGCGCCCGCAGGCAAATGCATTTTAGAAAACCCAAAAAAAATTTAGAAAAAATTATAAAATCAGAACACATCAATGAGTTCAAACTAAAATCTTCAGATTCATAAACAGAAAAACAACTGACGATGATAAGCTCATTAAAGAATGATAATACAAAGTTCACCTGAAGGTAATCAATAAGCATGTCTATCCGAAAAATTTACTAGAGTCAAATTCCTAAAAAAAAATTGAAGAGGAGTGTTGGCGCCCGCAGGCAAATGCATTTTAGAAAACCAAAAAAAAATTTCGAAAAAAATTATACAATCAGAACACATATCAATGAGTTCAAACTACAATCTTCAGATTCATAAACAGAAAAACAACTGACGATGATAAGCTCATTAAAGAATGATAATACAAAGGGCACCTGAAGGTAATCAATAAACATGTCTGTCCAAAAAATTCTACAAGAGTCAAATTCCTAAAAAAAAATATGAAGGGGAGTGTTGGCGCCCGCAGGCAAACGCATTTTAGAAAACCAAAAAAAAATTTAGAAAAAATTATACAGTAGGAAACACATTAAAGAGTTCAAACTACAATTTTCAGATTCATAAACAGAAAAACAACTGACGATGATAAGCTCATTAAAGAATGATAATACAAAGTTCACCTAAAGCCTAAAGGTAATCAATAAGCATGTCTGTCCGAAAAATCTACTAGAGTCAAATTCCTAAAAAAAAAAATTGAAGGGGAGTGTTGGCGCCCGCAGGCAAATGCATTTTAGAAAACCAAAAAAAAATTTCGAAAAAAATTATACAATCAGAACACATATCAATGAGTTCAAACTAAAATCTTCAGATTCATAAACAGAAAAACAACTGACGATGATAAGCTCATTAAAGAATGATAATACAAAGGGCACCTGAAGGTAATCAATAAACATGTCTGTCCAAAAAATTCTACTAGAGTCAAATTCCTAAAAAAAAAATTTAAAAAAATGAAGGGGATTGTTGGCGCCCGCAGGCAAATGCATTTTAGAAAACCAAAAAAAATTTCGAAAAAATTATACAGTAGGCAAACACATTAAAGAGTTCAAACTAAAATGTCCAGAATCCAAAACAGAAAAAACAATATTGCCAATGATTAGCTAATTAAAGAATGATGATACAGAGGGCACCTGCTTGTTAAAAATATTCAAGTCTATACAAAAAATTCAACTAGAGTCAAATTCCTAAAAAAAAAAATGAAGAACAAAGAAAAACAACTGACGATGATTAGCTCATTAAAAATGATAACACAGATTGAACCTGCAGGTAATCAATAAACAAGTCTGTGCAAAGAATTCAACTAGAGTCAAATTCCTAAAAAAAAAAAAATTGAAGGGGAATGTTGGCGCCCGCAGGCAAATGCATTTTAGAAAACCAAAAAAAAATTTCGAAAAAAATTATACAATCAGAACACATATCAATGAGTTCAAACTACACTCTTCAGATTCATAAACAGAAAAACAACTGACGATGATAAGCTCATTAAAGAATGATAATACAAAGGGCACCTGAAGGTAATCAATAAACATGTCTGTCCAAAAAATTCTACAAGAGTCAAATTCCTAAAAAAAAATATGAAGGGGAGTGTTGGCGCCCGCAGGCAAACGCATTTTAGAAAACCAAAAAAAAATTTAGAAAAAATTATACAGTAGGAAACACATTAAAGAGTTCAAACTACAATTTTCAGATTCATAAACAGAAAAACAACTGACGATGATAAGCTCATTAAAGAATGATAATACAAAGTTCACCTAAAGGTAATCAATAAGCATGTCTGTCCGAAAAATCTACTAGAGTCAAATTCCTAAAAAAAAAAATTGAAGGGGAGTGTTGGCGCCCGCAGGCAAATGCATTTTAGAAAACCAAAAAAAAATTTCGAAAAAAATTATACAATCAGAACACATATCAATGAGTTCAAACTACAATCTTCAGATTCATAAACAGAAAAACAACTGACGATGATAAGCTCATTAAAGAATGATAATACAAAGGGCACCTGAAGGTAATCAATAAACATGTCTGTCCAAAAAATTCTATTAGAGTCAAATTCCTAAAAAAAAAATGAAGGGGATTGTTGGCGCCCGCAGGCAAATGCATTTTAGAAAACCAAAAAAAATTTCGAAAAAATTATACAGTAGGCAAACACATTAAAGAGTTCAAACTAAAATGTCCAGAATCCAAAACAGAAAAAACAATATTGCCAATGATTAGCTAATTAAAGAATGATGATACAGAGGGCACCTGCTTGTTAAAAATATTCAAGTCTATACATAAAATTCAACTAGAGTCAAATTCCTAAAAAAAAAAAATGAAGAACAAAGAAAAACAACTGACGATGATTAGCTCATTAAAAATGATAACACAGATTGAACCTGCAGGTAATCAATAAACAAGTCTGTGCAAAGAATTCAACTAGAGTCAAATTCCTAAAAAAAAAAAATTGAAGGGGAGTGTTGGGGCCCACAGGCAATTGCATTTTAGAAACCCCAAAAAAAATTTAGAAAAAGTTATACAATCAGAACACATAT